AAGAGAAGTAGAATAGCCAGCAAACTCTCAGAATATTTTTTAGTACATATTAACACATATTATATCTGAAAACCAGGCCATTTTAGATTAAACTGTTTCGCTAGGAGCAAATTTTGTTGAATTTTCTATTGGATTTGGCGATTCTATCATAAACAAGCAGTGACGTCATAGTGAAATAGGGCCATTGCGATTGGATATACCTCTTGTTTTGTCCTGTTTCATCTCTTTAATTTTTGCTTTGAATTCTATTCTGAAATCAAAAGACCAGCTGGTGTTTAATGCGACGCATGCGCCGCTGAATTATTCCCATTAGAGTCAGAAGCCAAAGACATGGCGGCCATGTTGGTCGTATCGACAAAGGAAGGTACTAGAGAGTTTTAGATTTACGTTCACGGCAAACGTGAAACGTCAGTTGACAGTGAAAAATTATTTCAAAAGGAATTGCAAAAAATAATCCAGAAGGTAGAAAAACAGAAGAATATTTGTGTGTGTTAAGAAAGTTTGCAAAAGATAAAGTTAAATACAGGAAAAAAGCGTGGTCACGTTTGCCGTTTGCCTGGAGAAAAAAAGTCAATCTAAAACTCTCTAATGAGGAATCTTATCAATTACGACATACGTTATTATGTGGTACTAAGAGTTTTTTTCATTGGCCCGCGATCCTATACTTGGCATGGTATATAACTTTCGCGGTAATATGTTATTTCCGAGAACCGAGAGAAAAAGCCCTTATTGATAATAATAATAAGCTAATAAATATAATTTTTAATTAACCATTAAAAATATAATTATCCATGCGTCAGATAGGATTGTCTTAAGTTTTCCTTTAAAAGATTCAGTGGATGGAGCGTTCCTCATGGATAGCGGCAGATCGTTCAATGATATAGGCTAGAAAAAGCGCGAGATCCGTAGTTCTTAGTTCTGAACTTTGGTCTTGATGTTTATTGAATGTTGCATGAAAACTAAGTACGGCTTGATAAAGACTGACTCGAAATGTAGTACCAAATTATCCGATAAGGCGTTGTTATGTAATCCCACTTAGTAAAGCATTTATTTGGCATTTTTCAAAAGCCACTGAGGATAAATATAACATGAAATGCTTCTATTATAGTGATCTATTATGGCTTAGTATTCATTAGATTTACTTTTAACCTTTTGAGTTTAAAAAATACACCGTCATGGTAACACACGCGAAGGTAGAAGCACAGAAAATTGAATAGCCTGAAGGCTGTCCCAAATAATGAAATGACTTATGTTTGACTTATATGAAATGATTTACTTTACACCCATCACAGAGGAGGTGATTGCTAAGTTTTTAGATGGCCAGAGGCTTCAACTGCGGTTGTCAGAATTTGAAATAGTAATCAGTTATTGCGAAGGGAGGAAAACCGAAGAAAAACCCTCGAAGGATGAATAATACACAGAACAGCGCAAATCCTTACTCAAATATAATGACAGATTTACACGGTTGAAGTAACCTTTAATATATATTAGAAACGTGTTTAAACATAACACACGCACGAACACTTATTTTACATCTGTTTAGTCTAGCTCTTGCTTTTGAAAAGGACATTTTGACATCTCACTGCCCACGTTCTTGAGAAGGAACTGACTCAGAGAGTCTTAACATCTTTCTAAGTATCCTTATACAAGCTTGTCTCAGATCTTTCATTCGTGTGAAATAAATAACTGGGTTTAACGTCGAGTTTAATGTACTGATTCTTAAACACACCCACGCAACGTTTCTATTTAAAACTGCCTTGGTAAACATAGCCATCGCGCCCAAGAGGGGGATGCAGAAAACTCCCGTTATTGCAAGAACCAGTAACATTGTTTTCAATAGTTTTTTGTACTTACGAACATTGATGTCACTGGAATTTGATGTCTCGTTGGGTTGTTGATTACCCTGTGTTTGGATCTGGGCGCAATAGATTTTGAGTGTCCTAAATGACATGATATAGCAATAGAGGATAACAAACAAGCAAATTGCAACAGTAATAGCCCCCAAAAAACTCATAATTCCTAATGATATAAAATAAGAAAGAGACATTAGCACGGGTGTAAGGGCCCACACTCCGACCAAAAAGAATCTTATCCTTCGCAATGTCACCAAAGTTTTGTACTTTAACTTAAGCCGTATGGCCAAGTATCTGTCCACACTGATACCCAACATAGTAAATAACACGGCAATACTAAGCACAGCCATCAGCGAACCAGCTATCATACGAATATGACAATACATTCTTGCTTTCCTGTTCATATACAAAAATATCGTGGCGGAAAACACAGGTTGCCCAAGAAGTCCTACTGCAAGATCACTGAAAGCGAGACTTGTCAGCAAAAGATACGACGGTGTTCGTAAAGAAGACGTCGTCAGAATGGCCACGATAACCAGAGCATTAGCAGCGGCTGTTGGTACAGCTAACACAGAGTTGAAAACTCCAATAACAAGAAGGGTTTCTTTTTCATGTTGCTTTAGATCGTTCGTGACATTAGTGACTGCTTCGATACAGAATGCCATAGGCTTGTCCATTATTCCAAAAGCTTTGGGTTAGCGTTAGCTAGAGCTGTTATGTCGCTTGAACGAGTTTGTCAAACGACTCATATATAACCAAATATATTGACCCTGACATGGGGCCCTTTTGCGAACCAGCTCTCAGTCATTTTATCTCTCATTAATCTTAAGGGTAGAGATTATTTAGTAAAGGACACACAAGAACACTTCATGATAACATCCGAACGTCTTTTGACATTAAAGATGGTCACGTGATAAGTATTTCGCTTGTTTATTGGATGAAATCCCAGTGGGATTTTTGTGACATAATAGACGATTTACACAGATTTCACTTAGAATGACATGATATATGTTTTTTGCATGGAATTCACCATTTCTACGCTTTTTAAAAAAAATCTTTGTAAGCGAGTCATCTCAAAGCATTTACCAAAGCCAGCTGTAACGACCTAAAATGTTTCCTTGCAAATGTACCTTTAGCCTACCCTTTGTTTTGTTCTAGTCTTACTCAGAACCGCTCAAAACCATTTAATGGGATTTGACATAACAGTCACACTTATCTATACCACGAATCAGAGATCTTTAATTCTTGTTCACTTTTGAGTGGACTTCATAATTATTAGAGAACGCCGGATGCCTTTTCTTCATTCTTAAAGTGTTTTACCTTTTTTTAAAGTAAGCATTGTCCAGTTCGCTACCAATATTAACTTCCAAGTAACTCACAACGGAATAACAGACCTCCCACCTCGCACGTAATGTTTTCCCATTTGAGACCACGTGTCATTCTCTTGAGAATTAGATTCTTTGTTTGAGAGTATCCATACTTACGTGTTTTCTCATGCACAATGAGTGATATAAGCCTTTCCAAATTTAAGGAACTTGTGACCACCCATTTTGTTTCCAAATTGGAACATTACTTACCATCTTAAAATTTTTTAAATTTGAATTTTTATAAATTTTGATCCATCAACCTCCTATGATCCTGTTTTTTCTTTTCATTATTGATTTTTTYCCTCGTCAATTTTAATGTTAATCATGTTTGTACTGTATGTAAATTGTATGGAGAGGGAATATCAATTGGGACGAAAGTTCTGTTTTGTTCGCCAGTCACAAAATTTGTATGTCTCAAGTTTTATAAAATGTATATGTTTATATTGTGACAAATAAACTAAACTAAACTAAACTAAACTAAGCAACCGTTAAACAAAGATATGATACCCTAGGGAATGACACGTTGTCTGAAAAGGGACCCAAGGTACAGAGGTCTTAAGTTCTAAATCACCTAAGGTGGAAAACATCCAAGATTGCTGCAGCCAGTTTTATTCGAATACATTTGAATTAAATATACGTAGTGGATTCTGGTAATATGTTACCATTAATAGTGGTACTATCAGATCACCACGAGATAAGAGAAACTGAGAACTAAACGTTAAACAGTCATTATTTTTTATTCACGCGTTTATCTTTCATCGGACTAAAAATCACTGATCATATCGTGATAGATAAGCTTCTAAGCCCTGCTAAAAGGTCTTACCTCGGTAACGAATCCAGAAACGACCTCTAACCAACGTATCCATTCATTCAGCTATCAGCTATCGTGGCGCCCATAAAGAAAAACAAAATAAATCATTTATTGAGTGGGTAGGAGATTATGGTCATTCATCCTGGTAACATCCCCGTTCAACTGGTCTTGAATCAGTGTCTCAAAAGCCCAAGTAAATAAATAATTGCTAATCTATCTTAATAGATTGAAATAATATTAAAATAATATTAATATTGCTAGTATAACATTGGATTGAGTGGATGGACAGACGGATGAATGTATAGATAATTAAGATGTATGGATGAATGGGATGGGGCGTGACGTAATTTGTCGCACAGGTAAATTTAGAGATGAATGGGATGGAAAGGATGGAAAGGATGGAAAGGATAAATGAATAAATGGATGGGATGGGATGGGATGGGACGGATGGACGGACCGCCGGATGTATGGATGAAAACATAAACGAAGATTGGAGCGACTAAATTTCTAACTTCATAAACAGCAGCACAAATTTTTGCTTGTTGAGAGGGCGGAACAGAACAAGTAGGATTCATATAGAATATTCAAATGTGTAGGTTTCGTTCCACTTTTAGCTCTTTGGGTATAATAAACAAGAACAAAGAGAGAAAAGAGGGCAAATTTGTCACTTATATTCAACTGTCGGAAACGTTAATCAAAGGTAACCCATGCTAAGCTCGTGAAGCTTTTTGAGTACCAATCGGAACTAAGCCGATGATAACAATTGACACTTGGTGACTCATTTCATTGAGAGTATTGTGACCCGAGTAAGGCGATAGTCGGAATTATGTTTTGTGCAAACAATGTGTTGTCTTTATCAATTAAATTATTGGCTTCTGATTGGCTAGAATCCTTTTCTTTTCCGATTTCTGGTTACGAAATTTTTCTACGATTGAGATTATCTGGACCGAGTCTAATCGATCCAATATATGACAACAAACCAGGCTGTTTTCGGACTCTTCTTCCAACTTAATGATAGATACAACAATCTCATATCTCAAGGTCCAATAAAAAGAACATAAAGTAAACTAAGAATACTCAAAATRTGCTGCTGATTATGAAGTGATTGAAAATCCAAAATGGCTTCCTCTGCAAACAACGTGCGTGGATTCTTCTAGTGACGTCACTTGGCGAATACAATGTATGCCATGGTTACGGGTGCTTTCACAATGAATCTTAAATTTGCTATTTGGAATGAGAGCTTTTAACTCAGGCACACCACAGACACACACACCGATAAACCAGGTTTATATCTACCCACAGTCTACTCATTCGAAGGTAGATGGCACCACAATGATACGAACGTTTTCACTATAGAAGATCCAACCGTCTGCTCTAATTGCAGCTGTTGTCATAAAAGTTTAGCTTCAGTTAAGAGAAATTAAGAAAAGAATAATTTTAACTATAAGTTTTTGTTTAAGCGATCAAAACTATCGCTCCTAGTGATTATGATCACCCGGCTAAGCTACTTAGCCGAGACCACGCGTAAAATATCTTTCAAGAGCACCCCTTGCTGGTCAAAAACAAGAAGAAAAATCATGATTATATTTATATTTAAAAGGCTCGCATTTTAAGTAAGAGTGCAATTATTTTTAGCTACAGTGAAATTTTTGTTCTTCCGACCTCATTTCCGGATTAATGTCGAATTAATGCAAAAACTCAAAATAGTGATTTTCCATTCAATCTGTTTTGATTTTCTGCCGCTAAAGCAATCATAAATGTCATCTCCTCAAGTTACAAGGCAAAACAAAGATTAAAAGGTGAAGCTAATGTTTTACTTCGATATCGTGGGGAGTGGTTGCTCAATTCTCCCAAACCAGGGGCTCATGTATAAAGCGCTCGAAGGTGCACACTTTACCCCCTCAGACTATCAGTACTCCTTATTCTGAGCGAGTATTTAAGCTTAAGCTACAAAGAACAGAGAAAAGCCTAGTCTGTTATAATTTTATGATCCCTATTTACTACGTTTGGTGCGATTATTAAATTTGTATCGATGAAGGCTACTCATAACTGAAAACCTAATTGACATTACGAATCCGAATGAATAATGAGAGGTCAAAGAAAAAGACAGAACTCAGAAAAAACCTAAGTTCCAGATGGGAATAGATCTGATAATGTTTTCCCATTTCAGACCACATGTCATTCTCTAGAGTATCATTTCTTTGTTTAACGGTTGCACATGAGAAGACACATAAATATGGATACAGCTCAAGCTAAGAACCTTATTCTTAAAGGAATATCAAGTGGTCTGAAATGGGAAAACATTACCCCAAGCCGAAGAGGTCTTTTGAACCCACGAATTGACATGCTCATTAAAAAGCACATTTAGGTTGACCCAATCAGACTTTTCATGACAGAAAAGAATTATATGGAAAACGAGTGCATGGAAAATGAACTAATGAAATTGTCAAATCGATAGCCTTTTGCTCAAGCCTAGGTATCCTTTAATTTTGAAAAGATTTGCAAAATAGTATCATAGAATTACTGAGGGAAGGTTTGAAATTTTTCTGATAACATCCAAAAAGATTACATTTTTGCAATCTCAAATGAAAATGGACAACCAGAAGGTCTAGAAGTAATGTTCTTTTATTTGATTTAGCCATATGGACAGTATTTATGTAAGATTATTTGCGTTTCAAAGAAAGCCTAAAGGATTGAGAGTGAAACACCAACTGAGACTGGACGTGTTGTCTTTCTCTTTTCCTGTCATATTCAGAACCAGCGTCCTTACTTTATGTATATAATAGCCAAGACTAGTAATTACACACAGAACCATCTCAGTGTGGGCCGGATCGACTTTTAGATCACTTGAACTGTAATATTCGTCGGAAGTAGACTTAGATAGCTTCAATATTAATATTGGGACTGAAAGAATAGTCAAGATGAACCAAACTGAATATCCTGATAACATTTCCTACGTTGTAAGTTGTGGATCGTTGCCGTGTCGAGCTACACTTATCGCCAAATATATTGGAATAACGAACACTGTTATGATCGTACCGACAGCTGCTGCTAATGCTCTGGTTATCGTGGCAATTCTGACGACGTCTTCTTTACGAACACCGTCGTATCTTTTACTTTCAAGTCTCGCTTTCAGTGATCTTGCAGTGGGACTTGTAATCCAACCTATTCTTGCAGTGCTAGCATTTTGGGTTGCATATAGCCACACACTACCATCTCGTTTGCAAAAGGCAAGGCTGGTTATAACAGAATTGTTATTTTTTTCGGTAGCTTTTATCACAACAGCCATCAGCGTGGACAGGTACTTGGCCATACGACTCAAGATGCAGTACAGATCTGTTGTCACGATCCCAAGGACGAGACGTTTGCTGCTTCTGATATGGGTTGCCTCCAGTGTCACAGTATTCGCTATAAACATGTCAAATTTTTTCGTCTGCGTCGTCTTTTTTATCATTTGTGTAACAATATGCCTACTCATAATACTTGTCTCCTACACAATGTCGTTCAGAGCCCTGAAGATTCATTGTGCTCGGACCCAACCACAGGGTAACCTACAACCAAACAGTACAACACAGTCCAATGTCATCGATGTTCTCAAGTACAGAGAAGTGTTGAAGACAATGATAATACTAGTTTTACTGATAGTGGTATTTTCCCTACTTTTCTATGCAATAGTTTTTATATTCCTAGAAAAGAACGATGGATATGTACTTATTATCTGGATTCTAACCAACGTCTCTTACTTAAACTCCATCATGAATCCAGTAATTTGCATGGTAAGAATGAGAGACCTCAGACGAGCTTGTAGAAATGTATTGAGGAGATTATTGCCCGCATGCTGGAAGTAAACTTAAGGCCTAGTATGTCGAACTTTGGAGGGTCCTGTCCAGTTGTCAGACGATACACGACTGAGGAAGCAAAATTATGAACCTCTGACGACGTAAAAAAAGACCCTGGCAGTGAAACCCTCAATGTCTCACCTTATACTAACCATCTGTCGGGCAAAGAGGTGTGGCGTCCCCTACCTGTATAAGCCACAGAAAGGAATCATGATGGCTTGACAACCATGACTCCCGAGGAGACTCGACATGATGATGATGAGAAAGTCAGGTTAAACACGATCTGCATCTCTTCATTGACGTCACAACTAAAAGAAAACGCAGCACCAATGCCGGTTTCATATCGAGAGAGAACTCTGGGGAGACCGGACACCTGTTAACCAGGCTGGATAAGATGAAAACTTTTAATACATGTAGTCGTATAATATCATTGAACCCTACAAATGCAGCCTGATTTTGACCGAATGAACACGAATCATTGGGAAATGGAGATATTCATGACATCGATATTCACAATTGTGCAGTTTCGACCCAGTCCTCCAAGGATATGAAACTCGGCAATTGGCCATTTATGAGAACGCAAACGTAGTGCATTCTGGTAGTACAACACTTATTCTACCAATTTATTTTTATTTTCAAAAAGAGAAGAGGAAAATTGTTTTAGTAAATCTCACTGATTATTTAATGCTGAGCTCCCTGTGATACATCAGTTGAAAACTGGGTCGCCGCTGGCGTTTAAATTCATTTTAGCTTTTGATAATTTAGTTTTTAATTTTAATAAAAAGGGATCCATAGGCGCTCTAGGTTCATATCGTCTACATCATAGGTTTTGTTATCGGGACAGAATGATTCAAAATTCTTAAAAAATTAGACAGTTTGCTCTCCCGAGTGTATAAGTTTGATTCTAATCAGTTTTGATTCATGATGGTAATTGAACTGAGTGGAGTGCAATTTGGTCTGAAATCAAACGCGCGATTACAAAATCGCATGACCGCGAAGCGGGAGTGCGATTTGTAATTGCAAGTTTGATTTCAGACCAAAATTGCACGACACAAAGTTCAATTACCACTTAATCATATCCTTTTCGTAATCATACACAAGAAAAAGACACAATAAAGAGTGCAGAATAATCAATTTGATGTAGTAGAAGAACTAAATGCAAACAAAAAAAACATCTAAAAAAAAATTTTTTTTTTTGTTTTTTTGTTTTATTTTGCTTCATTTTATTGTTCAAAACAATTTTTTTTAGGATGCGATTAAGAGCTCCTAAGGATGTGATTTGGGAATTAATCGCACTCCTTTGAACCAATCAGATTGCAGGATTTGGTAGTGATTACAAAAAGGATATGATTAAGCTGGTAATAGATATCTTATCAGAAGATCGGACTAGGCGTGCAAAGTATGATATCCGTGATAAAAATCAACCACCGTTAAATAACACTCTCAATAACATATGTGACACTTAAATTAAGTTGTAAGCATCATGGAGTTGTGGAGCTTGTAGTTCACGGCTTCGCAATTTGATTGGCTAATTGTTTTTCTTCAGATCACCTGGCCTTTTCTCGAATATTGAAGATCAGCAGTAAGGTGAAAGGGCTTCAGAACTTGTCGACATTCTATCTGATAAACCACTACGTGGACTTGATTAAATGTTATTCTATCAATTACCATTTTCAAGTAAATTTCCTATTTTCAGGATCATTTCAACCAAGCGGTACTAATTTTCAGTTGATTATATTATTACTGTGGTTTTCCATATTCTGCGCACTCGGACATTTCAACGGCTTGTTGTGAAATCGTTTTTTTACTACTGCCAGTTAAGAACATAAAAGGTACCAAGCTGTTTATTTTTGATTTACGGCAGCGAAAAAACAAATCTCAGCGTACAGCTTGCAACTGCCCATGTTCGCAGAATATTGAAAATCGCATTAACGCTTTGAATAAAACATGAAAAAATAAGACTCAAACTAACAGAATGAAATTTTAGTCCGAAGTTCTGGACCAATCAGCGCTCGCTATTATTGCATATCTTTACATGAACATGCAACGCTGTGTTTCTTTTATTTAATTTGCTTTTAGATAGATATATACTTTATTTTATAACACTAAGCCCGAGAGGTGAATTAAGTTAAAATTACAAGATTCACTTGAATACATTTAAAAGAAAAGCAAGCCATGTTGGAAATTTCTATTTCAATTATTTTCCCAATCGCTTAACACAGTGAAAATACCATGATACATATTCAGTAGTTTCGGATCACAAAGCAAAATCAAAGGTTTTTGTTGTTGTTGAGAAAAACCGGTTTTTACAATAACTTACAAATTACTCGCACGCTGATTGGTTATTTTTTATCATCAATAAGAAGACAGAAAAATAAAGGTGACGTCAACGATCGAGCGCGCGCTCTTTCCGATGGTTGTTCTGATGAATAAAAACGAGAATTTTCGGCTACGCCTCGTGGATCCACACTACTTTGACAATGTGATGCAGAATTTATCATCAATCAGAGGACAGACACATAAAAACGGATGTTAATTAATTTGTTAATTTGAGGATATTTGTTCATCGTTACTTTGGTAACACATAATAATAATAATGATGATAATAATAATAGTAATAATAATA